TTCGCAATATGCTCATGGGGTAAAAGGTTAATCAAAAAAATAAAAAATGTCAAAAAACAACAATTTTTCACCAAATTTCGGTGTTAGGGCATGTGTTAACATGGAAAATCTAGTTTTTGTGTAATTCCAAAATTTTTCATCATTTTTTGTTAATCAAAAAAATAAAAAATGTCAAAAAACAACAATTTTTTACCAAATTTCGGTGTTAGGGCATGTGTTAACATGGAAAATCTAGCTTTTGTGTAATTCCAAATTTTTTCATCATTTTTTGTTAACCTTTTCCCTTATATAAGCGTGTTTCGACGGCTTTTTGCCCCCCCCCTTTTTGAGGCCTCAAACAGTGAAAAAATGCCATATTTAGGCGCCAAACACTGATTTTCGTTTGAGAAATGCTGTTAAAAAAAGTGACCACTTTTTCGGCGCTGTCCCCCATCCAAATATTACATCAGGGGGTTGCCAGAAGGGGGATGTACCCCTTCTGTTTGGGGGGTTTGAAGTGGGGCGGAATCCCCCTCATCTCCAAGAAAATTTTGGACATGTGACAGGCTAAAAATGGCCTCAGGTCGATCTTAGGGTAGCTAGTAACCGACGCTGAAAAGCCTTTTACTCTATCTCAATTCATTGAGAAGTTGCAGCACTTTGAAATCAGTTTTGATGGAAAAAAACAATGCAAAATAGTGATTTTTGGCAATTTTGAGACGTCCCCCCGTTGCCATGGTAACAGGAAATTTACCATTGAGCATGCTGTTACAGAGGCTATGGTGTAGTCAACATGTGTGCCAAGTTTCATTAGTATTGAAGCATTTTTCATACTTTCATAGCAGTTTGAACTTGTTACAGGAGGCTTTTCAGTGAAAATGGCCATTTTTCGCAATATGCTCATGGGGTAAAAGGTTAATCAAAAAAATAAAAAATGTCAAAAAACAACAATTTTTCAGCAAATTTCGGTGTTAGGGCATGTGTTAACATGGAAAATCTAGTTTTTGTGTAATTTCTAAAATTTTTCATCATTTTTTGTTAGTCAAAAAAATAAAAAATGTCAAAAAACAACAATTTTTTACCAAATTTCGGTGTTAGGGCATGTGTTAACATGGAAAATCTAGTTTTTGTGTAATTCGAAATTTTTTCATCATTTTTTGTTAACCTTTTCCCTTATATAAGCGTGTTTCGACGGCTTTTTGCCCCCCCCTTTTTGAGGCCTCAAACAGTGAAAAAATGCCCTATTTAGGCGCCAAACACTGATTTTCGTTTGAGAAATGCTGTTAAAAAAAGTGACCACTTTTTCGGCGCTGTCCCCCATCCAAATATTACATCAGGGGGTTGCCAGAAGGGGGATGTGCCCCCTTCTGTTTGGGGGGTTTGAAGTGGGGCGGAATCCCCCTCATCTCCAAGAAAATTTTGGACATGTGACAGGCTAAAAATGGCCTCAGGTCGATCTTAGGGTAGCTAGTAACCGACGCTGAAAAGCCTTTTACTCTATCTCAATTCATTGAGAAGTTGCAGCACTTTGAAATCAGTTTTGATGGAAAAAAACAATGCAAAATGGTGATTTTTGGCAATTATGAGACGTCCCCCCGTTGCCATGGTAACAGGAAATTTACCATTGAGCATGCTGTTACAGAGGCTATGGTGTAGTCAACATGTGTGCCAAGTTTCATTAGTATTGAAGCATTTTTCATACTTTCATAGCAGTTTGAACTTGTTACAGGAGGCTTTTCAGTGAAAATGGCCATTTTTCGCAATATGCTCATGGGGTAAAAGGTTAACTGTTAAAAGTTGCAGACTTGGTTTGGTTGAGTTGTTTATGGACGGTACTCGTAAGTGAAGTGAAAACTACCTTCCACGCCCCAGTATCAGCGGTTTAAGAAGAATTCAACATTTACACATGTAAATGGTGTAATTTATTATTAAAATAAACATTCAAAAACATTTAGAACCATTGGTTATAATTATAGTGTAAACATTTAATCAAATATCAGAAGTAAATAATTTACATTTACCAGACAACACATTTTTTCAATGAAAAGGTAAGAATTATGAATGATTTAATTATAGATTTTACGATTTGATTCTTTCATTCTTGTCAGTTATTAAGAATCTTTATTTCTAAATTGATGGTGTCAAAAATTATACATGCTGAATGAAATATCTTTTTTCAAGTCATTATTCAAGAAAATGGCATTGAATTAAAAAATATTTATCATAAAAGAAGCAAAATGTAAACATCAAAGTATTTTGACATACATACAAAAACTAAATCACTATAAAATATTCTTATTATCTCTAATGTAATCAAACTTCATCAAACCGAATTTGAAATACTCACTTTTAAACATTGTTTTCTTTGCACTTGACACAACAGTTTCAGACTAAAGCGTAAAGCAATGCCAGTTTCCAATTAAATAAAAATATATATTGCTATAAGATATATCACACAATGGTTTCAGAAACTGTTACACAATACATACATCATACGTTCCTATATTGTATGGCAAACTGGATGTTAAGTTTTAATCTATATGCTAATCTAATCGAAATGAGAAAGAAGTCTGACGACATTGATCCACTAATTTGGTTTAAAGTATCTATTTACTAGCCTTGCAAAGAGTTGATTCAGTGTACCACGGACATTTATTGTCAGTGTACCAAAACCAAAATACTGATTGATGAAAAACAATTATTAAGATATTTCACTTGACACTGCTTCCTTAGATATTTTATAAGGGTCTCTCAATTTTCTTTATCAGTTTTTATTTTTGTACTGATGTATCTTGTTTTAGTTCAAACTTATATTTATATGCAATAATTAATATTATTACTATAATGTTTATATTAAAGTTGATACAGGCCTAACTTATCTTTAACCTTACATTTAACATATATAAATAGTTTAGAATAAAACGCTTATAAATAGACATACCGATTGTTATATTTATGTTTTTGAAAGTATTTTACAAAAGAAATGGGAACTGTCCTACATATATTACATTATACACTCTATTTATTACGAACTCAGTACGTTTTTGTGTCGCCTCTACGGAGTAGTGGCGACATATGGGGATCACTTCTCCGTCGTCTGTCTGTCCGTCTGTCTGTCTGCCCGTCCGTCCGTCCGTCCGTCACAAAACTTGTCCGGACTACTCCTCATAAACTACTGGTGCAATTTCATCCAAACTTTACAGGAAAGATCAGTACCAAGTCTAGTTGTGCATATTGTCAGCATTTTCCGGTTCAATGATTTTTGTCAGAGTTATGGCCCTTTAATAATTTTTACTTTTTAAGTTTGTCCGGACTACTTCTCTTATACCACTAATGCAATTTCAATGAAACATTACAGGATTGATCTTTAGCTCAAGTCCTTGCGCATATTGCACGGGTTTTCCGGTTGAATGATTTTTGGCCAAGTTATGGCCCTTTGATAAAAAGGTGTTTTTTTCTGTGTGTTGCCAGATACAGATTGATGGATTTATATTTACTTGAGTAATGATTATATTTGTTTAATGGTTTGATTGCAACATAAAGTATTTGATAAATAAAAAATCATATTATTTCGTATATTATACCGTATATATGATGCAAACAATCGGACAACGTCTTCAAAATAGTAATATTGTTTTGATAAATTTAGTGCATCATATTTGTAACATGAAACAAACGCTGGGTCAACGGCATTTATGACAGCATCATTAAACTGTATGCTAATGTATCATATTGTGCCGAATGACGTATTTGTCTTTTTTATTCTCCTTCTGGAAACAAACTAGTATAGACCTTCATTAAATCTATCAGACGTTCTGAATTTGTTTTGTCTTAATAAGTTGCAAATATCCTTGCATGTCGTGTATGACTTTTCATATGATAAAAACAATCGGTAAAAGTCTTTACAACAGTATTATTGTTTTGATCAATTTAGTGCATCATACTTGTAACATGAAACAAGCGGTCGTGCAACGGCATTTATGACAGCATCATTAAACTGTAAGTTAATGTATCATATGGTGCCGAGTGACGTATTTATCTTGTTTATTCTCCTTCTGGAAACAAACTGTTATGGACTTTTATCAAATCTATCAGACGTTTGTCAGAAATGTAAGGCAAAACATACTGTTTAAATAATGAGATACAATTCACGCCATCTACGTTCACTGTCTACCTCATTAGTGATAGCATTTGGTTTTGCTAATAATAACTTGCAAGTGACACTAAGGTTTTGAAGCCCTCTAATTTTTGACTTTTTGATGAAATTAAGAGAGACTGATATTTTAAAGAATTACTGTTTAGGAAAAGGCTTAATTTCGGAGAACTGAATATAAGAGTATAAATTGTAAAACAATTTAGGTGGCGTCGGCAAAACCCAAATACAGACGCTCCGGAAGCGAAAGGCCGACATTTTGAGTGACTTTGAGAACAACATGCCCAATTCTTCAAAACCTCGTCGTTATCTCACAGGTATTTTTTTTTCGTTATTCGCTCTCATCGTATTTTTTCACTAAATTGAAAGGAAAAATAAAGCAAAGATTTACAAGACAACAATGCCTGTTTATACACTACACCCCCAAATTTAAACTTTTAACTGTCTGAACTTTGCATGTATGAGCAGAAAATTCATTCCTCCTTCTTTTTCCAGGAAATGAAGAAGTCAACGACCTTACATTGGCATGGTGTCGTGATGTAACGGGAAGAAAAATCAACCTTACAGGTCAATGATACAGACAAAAGCAATTGAATTTGCCCAACAGCTGGGAAAAACTGAATTTAAGGCCTCAAATGGTTGGCTTGACTCTTTCAAATTACGAAACAGTATATCATATGGGACCATGAGTGGCGAAAGAGGAGATGTGAACGTTTAAACTGTGGAAGACTGGAAATCAAAATTAGAAGAACTTTGTAATGGTTTTGAATTGAAGGACATTTTTAATATGGATGAAACCGGTTTATTTTTTAGAGATACTTATAGAAAAACATTTTATTTCAAAGGAGAAGATTGTGCCGGGGGCAAAATGTCTAAGGAAAGAATAACCGTGGCCTTGTGTGCCAGTGCTGAGGGAGAGAAGTTGAAACCAATTGTTATTGGGAAAAGTGAAAATACAAGATGTTTTAAAAACATAAATAAAAAAGACTTGTTAGTACACTATTATTTTAACAAGAAAGCATGGATGACTTCTAATATTTATAAAGACTTTTTGAAGAATTTTAACAAGAAAATGAAACAACAAAAACGGAAAGTGCTTTTATTTGTTGACAATGCACCTTCACATCCAGATGACAATTCATTAAGTAATGTACTGGTCAAATTTCTCCCACCTAATACAACTTCTATGACACAGCCCATGGACCAGGGTATCATACGGGCCATGAAACTGAAGTTTAGAAAACGTCAGGTTAGTTATTGTTTATTTTATTTCTATTATTTGTTGTTAATAATGTTTTAAGACCATGTAAACTTATTTTTTCAATTTTTTCGATTAAAAAAGAAAGACAAAAAATTACAAAAAGTTAACCAACTAAAAGCTTAATTGTAATAATTTCAATTCAATAAATGCTAACTGTTGTTTAAAATCCATTTTCTTGCCTTTAACAATATTTGAACTTTATATACAAAAATAAATGAATATTAATAATTTTTTTTACCAGATGTCACATATGGTAACGAACATGGACATATTTCCAACTCTCTCTGGCTCGGACCTATTGAAACGTACCAACGTACGAGATGCAATCTATTGGTTAAGTAACTCTTGGAACGAGGTGGAAAGTTCAACAATAGTGAAATGTTTTGGTAAAGCAGGATTTAAATTACATTTGCAAGATAAAAGTGATATTGAAATCAGTGTTGAAAAATTAGCTGATGAACCAACTATGGATGATGATGATGATATTCCATTATCTGTGATTAAAATATCCTATGACTTATTTGGTTGCTCATTCAGTGATTTAGTAAAAATTGATGACAATGTGAACACATGTGATTCTCAAAACATTGATTGGGATAAAAATGCAAATGATTTGGTGAAAGACCTTTTTAAAAATGAAGAGAATAAAACTGATGAAGATGATGATGGCGAGGAAGATTGTGATAAATGTAATGAAGAAGAGGTTCTTACCACTGCAGAAGCAGTGCAAATGATATCAAAGTTAAAGGCTTATTCTCTTAAAAAAGGAAATCCTGCAATTTTGAAATTAATGTCTGAAGCTGAAGAGAAACTGAATAACCAAATTTGCATGACCAAGAAACAGACAACAATGTTGGATTTTTTCAACAGAGATGGAAGATGACCAGTCAGTTTTGTGTTTTTAGAGGGTTTTATGATTCAGACTATAATGAACACATTTTAGTATTTTTAATGATATTTAAAATTTTTAACATGATACTTTTATAATAATACATATATGTACATAATTTTTATTTTTTAAAGCATTGTAATTATAATAAAAGAATTGAAATAGAAATTATCTTATATCTTCAACAAACCATATATACGTAACACAATGAAAATACAATCAAAGAAAAGACAAACAAGTAAAAATAGCTTTTTGAATAAACTGATGATTTTTTTGGGGAACCTGGATTAAAAGACTCCCTGTCATATGTGACCTTTTTGATATGGTCCCATGGAAAGTCACATATGACAAGTTTTACTGTACATGTATATGAAATCAGATGATACTTTTCCGTCTCAGGTAAAAAAATATATAGTTATATTGAATACAATAGAAGGCGACAAATATCCACTGCATTGTTAATTTCTAATGGCCGTTTGTGATTTTGTAACTTTACTTCATGGTTTTATTGGGGATTATGCATCGTTGCACTGTTAATTGTATTAAACCGTTTTGATTTCGAAAACTGTATCACAGTTTAGCAAAGCAAATTTCAATTAACATTCGGACCATGCGTCGATTGAGTTTAGAATGTCGCTAAAATAAGCAGCATCTTATAGCACGTTCGCCAGCAACCTGGCTCCCAGTATATGATTGCGACAAAGTATGACGTTTTGAAGCGCACGCGACAGATAAAAAGGATAATTTTAATCAATTAATAAATTTTCAATTTGACACTGTTGTTTAATTAATTATACTATTCTATAAGTTGCGATACGATTTTGTCCTTTTTCTTTGAAATTCCTGTAAAATACAAATCCTAAAGGAAGATCCGTTGTTAATGTTGAGAGAACTTGTGGGTTTACCGTTTTGCCAAAAATGTTATATCATTGTATTGTAACTGTCTCTACGTGTATGTATATGTTTTTTGCCAATAAGATATGTTTAAATCATATATAAAACTAATATTCAATTTTGCAGATACAGCTTTTGAAGCGGTAAACTTTTATAAATGTATTTGTATCACTCTATTTAAAAGTAGAAACTGTCATTTCAATCGAAATTGTACTGCACAACATGCTTCCCATGCAAAGTACAACCTGTTTTCTCTATGTACCTGTCAAACAGTAAATGAATTCATTTGACATTTTGTAGGCTCTGCCTCTGACAAATATGAAATACATGAGGTATCCGACAAAGAAATTTGTAGATATTTTTAAGGCGAATATTATATGTGAAACGTTCTACAAATATATTCGCACTATACGGGAAGTTCAAGCGCGTGCTACTACCCTGTATACAAAAATTGATATCATTTAATATTAAAAAAAATATTAAAAGATATAGACGCTTCAATTGCAAAATAATTGGTGCCATTTAAATCAAATTATATTTCGAAGAGAGAGAAAAAAAAAGTTTTCCTCACATACAGAAAATTGTCAAATGAAATTTTCCCTCAGAGGTTTTAAAGTATCCTTTCCACGTGTGTTCAAAAGATTATATCTGTTTCTTTTTTGCATTGCTGGAAAGTACAAATACAAAAAAAAACGATGATATATATGAAAACACCAGCCTCAAAATGTGTTTATCTTCTTTAAAATTTACAATAATTTTATATGAAATATAGTAACTAAATTCAAAACCTTTTAAGTATGTACTATGATACTACCAAAGAAAGATGAATGATAATAATAATACGGCCACCATTTCAGTAATTTTAAAGAATAATAAATCCTTGGCAATTTCAAGAGAAAAATGAATGGAATTCTTATAATAAGAAAATAAAAGAAATTGTAACTTATCTTTTAACCGAAAAATTGCAAATTGCCATTAATCGCAAATATACAAATGTAATTAAATGAATACGGATAAATCAAGCATACGAACTAGCTAAACGCGCACTGATAAATGTATATCACTCATATCGTAGCAGTATAAGGGTCTTAAACCTGTTTGACACATTATTTATAGAATACTTATGTCTTGTAATCTCCAGAGACTAGCCTAATTTATTCTTCATATATTTTCTAAATTAGCATTATATACAATTACATTTTCATCAAGTTTTGATATAAATATAATCTAACAGCAAAGAACCATGTTAAAATAAACAGTGTTATTTTTTGCTTGTAAATTTATAACAGTTTGGAGAAGAATATTTTGTTCTAAACCATTTTTATAGCATGTTAAGCTGAATCTGTATATCATGTATTATGTATTTTGTGGGATAAAATATGTTTAAACTAATAGAATCATTCATAATAATCTTTAAAATATTTCGGATACCTAGTTTTCGAATCATGAATTTTTGAATACTTGACTTTACTGCCAATGTTTTACTGCTCCTCATAAATATATGCGTAATTTTGAAGTAAAGAGTTGGTCATTTTTAAAAAAGTCTTGTTTCTGCTTGATTGCTTAACGCGTAAAAAATAAGACAACAGTAAATTTTACAGATTCTATTTTGTACAAGGAACAGCTGATGGACAGCTAAATTCTCTTCCGCAGCGGACATAAGGGTGTGCTTCTGGACTTTTAACCAACCAAAGGCCGTCCGTGGCCTAGTGGTTAAGGTCGTTAACTTCAAACTACTTACCCATCAACGCTGTGAGTTCGAATCCCGACAGGGACTTTGGATTCTTTCATGTGATGAAGCTATCCAACTTGCTTACGGAACGTAGATGGTTCTACTCAGGTGCCCGTTCGTGCCTGAAATAATGCACGGTAGAGCACCTGAGGTCTTCCTCTCAGTAAAGCTGGAACGTCGACATATGACCTATACTGTGTCGGTCTGCATATCAAAGCCACATTTTCTCATCACAAATGTCTGTTTCAGTTATTAATCAACTATCTTCCACGTTTAGATGGTAGATACCTTTGTACATCCTCTTATCTCTTATGTGTTGGTTACCAGGTAATTTTATACTTCATATATTGACAAATTTCTTACATATTTGGTTTTATCATTTTTGAGCAAAATTGCTGTTCCCTGGGCTTTAATGATATGTCCATTTTTAACGTATAATACTTTGATTGTGATTTTAATGTATAATTTGTTATAGTTTTCATGTTTAACAAATCATTCAGGTGAGAATTACAAGACATCTGGTTATGTTGTTACCTTGATCTTTGAGTTGTTACCCTCTGTCGGTGATGATGGGGTGATCATTTATGCCAATATAATTTAAAAATAATTGGAGTTAAGAAGTAACGAAAATATAACATTTGACCTCTATATGTGACCTAGTATTTGGGGTAGCGAGCCAAATTTTGCGCTTCACACATCATGCCATTATGGTGAACATTAAAAAAAAGTCATTTTAAAAATCTTTTCAGTAGTAGAGCGGACAGGAAAATGTGGACTTTATCATTTGACCTTTAAGTGTGACCTTGACCTAATAGGTAGCAACCTGGATAAAACTTGGGGATACCAACGTGGATGCTGTGCTTTGCAGATTTTGTCACGGTGGGGATAATTTGTGCCAGGTAATTTTAAAACCATTGAAATGTCAATAAGTTATAGAGCGGGATGAAAAAAATGTTTCAACATTGGACCCTTGAGTGTGACCCTGAAATTAAGGGTTGTGACTTTATTGTTATGCTCTGCACATGGTATCATAATGGTGATCATTTTTGTCAAAGTATCTTAAAACAATTTCAGCGGTTTAAATATCATAGAGCGGAGACGAAATGTAGACTGTTTAACACTTGACCTTTGTTTAAAAAGACTTAAATCTGTGACTTTGACTTTGTTTAAAAAGACTGAAATATATCAATTAGGATGAGGCTGTTTTCATCACAGTAAATATCATTTAATACTTTTGCAAGGAAGTTCAACTGACTAAATAGATTCAATCTTAATATTCTACATTACATTAAAAAGTTTGTTAGCAGTTTAAATTAAATACAGATTATTTAGAAATGGTGTGTTTGATTACTTCCTTTTGAAATGCGTCTTTACAAACGTTGTCTTTGTTTCATTGAGATTAATCATTGACATTAAATGACATTTGACAAAAGTATCAAGGGAGTCATATTTTAAAGAAATTAGAAAATGTTAAATGTTTTATTTTCTTGTCATTTAATTGTCAAGAAGCATATGATAAAATAGGGAAAGGTTTCTGGCATATTATATTTCTATCTGAACTTCATCTGAATTTTTCAAAACAACGAGAAGTTTTTGATTCAGTTTTAAAGTGAATCTATAAGAAAATTGCACTATGGAAAAACAAATCATTAAATGTTAAACACGTGAAATTTATAATAACAATAATTTATAATTCAATATGGAAGAAAATAAGTAGAACTCACAAAACGTATTGAAAAAAGTACTATGACTTTTTGTAATTGGTGGTGAAAACAGTACTTTTACCTACTTAGACCTATGATTGTGCCACTTTTGCAGTTTATATACTGATTGTTTACAGTACATTTCTTCATGTAACTTTTTTGAAAAAGCAAACATAAATGATTTCAGTACATATACCTTTCCTTAAATAATTCCTTTTTTTTAATAGTAAGATTTATTTTGAGAATGTTCATAACTTGCAGAGATACTTTTAAAGTTGCAATATCTTGACTTATAAATATAAGAAATGCTGTCATAACTTAAACAATGATATAATCATAACAAAAAACCTGTAGGACTTCTGATTTACTTTAAGCTTATTGTAATATACACCGTGAACCGTTATTTCACAGAAAAAAACTACTTACAACAAGTTCAGACATGATTCAATATTATTTTTATCATGAAAATGATATTTTTTATCATTAAAAAAGATGTTTATATAAAATGATGATATTATATCCATATAAACATAGACAAAAGGTAAATAGATATATTATTGAACTTTTTCGATTTTCAAATTTATACCGAAATAAAACTTCTTTTGATGACAATTTGAAAATATATGAATAATTTTACCTAATTTGTCTTCAAAAGTGCAAGGCAT